TTCACCATGTGTGATCCTGAAGCTTGGCATGTGCAACAGCGTCGCGGATGGAGGGCGGGCCGTTTGCACAATGTGGTTGTTCTCGTCCTCGCCCTCCTCGCATTCTTCGATCCTCCTCGTCGCCCTCCTCCTCCTGCTCGTCGCCCCCTGGCCGCCCCTCCCTCGAGGAGAGGGCCCCTGGCCCCCCGCCCGCGCCGCAGGCCGCGATGGCCTCGCACCTGCAGGACACGCAGGCTGCCCCCCCGCTGGGCGGGGCCGAGGAGGGCCCAGAAGTCGATGAGGCCGATCGACATGGGCACGGAAGGAATTGGGCACAAGTACCCACAGCAGTTCCGGTCCTCCTCCTCCTCCTCCTCCTCCTCCTCCTCCTTCTCCTCCTCCTCCTCCTCCTCCTCCTCCTCCTCCTCCTCCTCCTCCCCCTCCTCCAAAGAATGGGCACACGGACCCACAGCAGTTCCGGTCCATTCTGAACCGGACTCGCTGTCGCTGTCGGGGCCGCCGCGGACGGACGTTGCCCATCTGAGGCAAAAGGCCGCCCGCCCAACAGCGGCCGCTGTTGGCGTGGGGCAACGCTTGGCGTTGGGCATTGAGGCCCCATCCTTCCCGTGCCCAGCTCAGGCGTCCAACTTCGAGGACCGAGGTTTCGAGGCTCGAGAGCGCCCTGCCCTCCAATAGCGTGTCTCTTGATTGCTTGGGGCATCATGGGCATTACAGCCTCCAGCCCCCCCTCCCCCCCCCATAACGTAACGCCCCTCCCCCCCCCAGTGCGCTCTGGGCACTGCCGCCGTGCGCATCGGGCACACGGCGGGGGGGAGGCGCTACATGATACCCCCCCTGGCCCCCCGCCCCATTAATGCCCATTATCGCAGAAAATACAGAGACGAAAAGAAAGAAACGAAAGAAAATATGATGCCCATTATTGCCCTGTCTCTCTACAGGAGAAATATTCAAAAGTAGTAGACAAATAGTCAGGGGATGATTTTTTATTTTTTGGGGCTATTTTGGAGCACGCTTTGACTGTTTTCATTTTTCTTTCAAAATGCGCCTGCAGGGGGACACGCCCGACCTACCGCTCCGCGCGCCAGGGGCGGCGCCGGAAGCGCCGCCAGGGGGGTCCAGCGCGGATCCGGGAAGTCCGCGCGGACCTCCGAGTTTTTATGCTTCTGTCATTGCTCGTTCCCCTAGGCATGGCGCGGGCGCGGCGCAAGGCCTGGGCGAGCAGCGTCCTGCAAGCCTCGGCAGAGTCAACCTCAAAGATGGCCGACGCACCTTCTTCCATGTCGCCCCCCGTCAACGTCGAAGCAGGGCGAAGCGCGGTCTGAGCGGGTGTGGCTTGACAGCTCCACGAGGACCGACACTGGAGGGGGGGCGCCAACAGCATCGCGGCGGCCGCCAGCGCCGCCCGAGGGCGCGGAGAGGCAGGAGTTCCCGTGCCCTCAGATCCGCGCGATGCAACTTTTTCACGGTGGGCGTGCTCCCGTGGGGCACCTCGCCAACCCACGCTGCGATGCGCGAGACATCCTTGCGCCCCCGGGGGGGGGGGGGGGGGGGGGTCAGCACGGTTTCCCTGGGTTGTAGGCGACCCGGAGGAGAGGAGAGTAGGAGGAGGAGGAGGAGGAGGAGGAGGAGGAGGAGGAGGAGGAGGAGGAGTGGAGGAGCAGGAGGAGCAGGAGGGAGGAGGAGGAGAGGAGGAGGAGGAGGAGGAGGAGGAGGAGGAGGAGGAGGAAGGCAGCCCTCTTGGGTCGTCTTGGAGCGCTCTTGGGCCCTCTTGGGAGCATCTTAGGGGCATGTTGGGCCATCTTGGGGCGATCTTGGGGGGCTCTTGGGCAGTCTTGGACGCTGTGAACCTCCGAACGTCGTCTATGCCGGAAATGCACGTTGTCCCAAGGAACTGGGACGAACGTTGCTTGTTGGGGCCCTCGTGGAGGGTCTCTTGAGGCTCTCATGGAGCTTCTCGGCGGCGTCGAGGGCCGTCTGGAGACCAGCATGGGCGTCTTGGAGCAATCTTTCGGCGATTCGGGGCCCCTTGGACTGTCTCGGGGGCGTCTCGGAGCCTTCTGGGTGCGTTCCCGGAGCGCTTTCGGAGGCCTGGAAGGCAGCCCTCTTGGGTCGTCTTGGAGCCCTCTTGGGCCCTCTTGGGCGCATCTTCGGGGCATGGTGGGCCATCTTGGGGCGATCTTGGGGGGCTCTTGGGCAGTCTTGGACGCTGTGAGCCTCCGAGCGTCGTCTATGCCAGAACTGTACGCTTCCAAAGGAAATAGGACGATTTTTGTTTAGACCACCTACGCCTAGAGGACTGGCAGGATTTGGTGTTACTACGGTTGAGGATTTTCAGACGGTTGCCTTGAAGGGACCTTGATGTGTTGTAGGGGCCTATGAAGAGGGAATCTGGAGGGAGGGTGATTGCAACACCGCAGATGCGTCTCAGGCTTACACTCCTCCTCCTCCTCCTCCTCCTCCTCCTCCTCCTCCTCCTCCTCCTCCTCCTGCTCCTGCTCTTCCTCCTCCTGCTCCTGCTCCTGCTCCTGCTCCTGCTGCTCCTCCTCCTCCTCCTCCTCCTCCTCCTGCTGCTCCTGCTCCTGCTCCTGCTCCTGCTCCTCCTCCTCCTCCTCCTCCTGCTCCTGCTCCTGCTCCTGGTCCTCCTCCTCCTCTCCTCCTCCTCCTCCTCTCCTCTCCTCCTCCTCCTCCTCCTCCTCCTCCTCCTCCTCCTCCTCCTCCTTCTCCTTTCTACGCCTCCTCACCCATTCTCACTTCTGTCTCTCGGTGCACATGGTGGGATCCCCTGCCATAGTAGATGGTAGAGGTTGCGGCGGCTCTTCGTCGCCGCACAGGGCCGAATCATAGATGTTGACGACGACGGCTTTCTAGATACGGTAGGTTCATGCGGCGATGGTGCGCCAGCGACGCCAGCGAAGGCGCTCAAGGCTGAAATTCCGTATGATTGAACGACGCGGAAGCATTGAGGGGCACGGTAACGCTACGGGGTTCGACGGAATTCAATTTTGAACGATCGGGGCAGCGATAGGTTCGAGGTTGAACGATCGACGCGGTGTGAAAATCCTTTGCGCGCGCCGACGCCGTACGAACCTACCGTAGAACCTCCTGGCCAGCGGATTCAATCAGCAATCCCCAGACAACGCTGCGACTCTGGACGGGGTCTCATACTGCGCCGACCGACCTCGCCGCTCGACCTTGGCCTGCCGATCCGCCTTCATCCTTACCAGAGGGAGGAGAGGGGAGGGAGGAGGGAGGAGGTCCGTGTCCCCCCCCTCTTCGCGCCCGGGAGTCAGGTTACGCAATCCGTCAGGCCGCAGAGGTTCTCCGCCGGCCACGACGGTTTCGGCGGGGAGAGAGCCTGGCTCTCCCTCGGGGACGCCGTCCGTCGGACCTCGCTTTAGCCGCCGCCGTTGTCGTCGCGGTCGTCCTCGTCGTCGCCGCCGTGGGGGGGTCGCCGCCGTCGCTGTTGGCATCGCGCTGGTCGTGGCTTGAGTCACTTCGCCTGAGCACCTGGGCCATCGCTGCGGCTAAGTGATGCGATTGGGCGAAAGTCGTATCTTGCCAGCCCTTTCTTGCATCCTCCGCCATCTGCTTCCCTCGATTATTCGTAATGTGTTTTTTTGTCGGTTGAGTTTACGTGGTGGATCACGGAGCTTCGACATGAGTTAGGCCGATGTCAGCAATGTGCGCATCGAAAACACATCCTGGCGAATGGCCAACCATATGCAATCATGAGTACTACGTTATGGGTACTGGCCGGTTTCGATGGGGCTCCCCTTGGGGGCCACGAAACGTGTGAGGGGTTCGCCGAACTGGCGCGGTGGTGCCCTGCGGGCGCAGCGACTTGGGCCCTCGGTGGGGCTTCCTTTTGGGCCACGAAACGTGTGAGGGGTGTACCAGAATGGGTGCGGTAGTGCCATGCGGGCGCAGCCACTGGTGCCCTCGGTGGGGCTCCTTTATGGGGCCGCGAAACGTGCGAGCGGTTCACCGAAATTGGCGCGGTGGTGCCATGCGAGCGCAGCCACTGGGGCCTTCGGTGGAGCTTCCCATCGGGCCACAAAACGTATAAGGGGTGTGCCGACAGGGGCGCGGTGATGCCATGCGAGCGCAGCCATTGGAGCCTTCGCTGGAGCTCCCTACGAGGCCACGAAACGTGGGGGGGCCCAAACGGGTGCGGTGGTGCCATGCGGGCGCTACCATTGGGGCCTTGGGTGGAGTTCCCTATTGAGCCGCGAAGCGTGTGAGGGGTGTGCCGAATTCGGCACGGTGGTGCCATGCGGGCGCTGCCTTGGGGACGTCCGTGGGGCTCTTTATGTGGCCACGACATGCGAGGGGTGTGTCGACATGGGCGCGGTGGCGCCATGCGAGCGCAGCCACTGGGGTCCTCGGTGGAGCTCCCTGTGAGGCCACGAAACGTGTGAGGGGTGTGCCAGAATGGCTGCGGCGGTGCCATGCGAGCGCTGCCATTTTGATCTTCGGTGGGGCTCCCTATGGGGCCACGAAGCGTGTGTGGGGTATGCCGAAACGGGCACGGTGGTGCCATGCGAGCGCAGCCGCTGGGGCCCTCGGTGGAGCTCCCTCTGGGGGCACGAAGCGTGCGAAGGGTGTGCCAACATGAGCGCGGTGGTCCCATGCGAGCGCAGCCATTGGAGCCTTCGTTGGAGCTCCCTACGGGGCCACGAAACGTGAGGAAGGTGTGCCGACAGGGGTGCGATGGTGCCATGCGAGCGCAGTCATTGTGGCCGTCGGTGGGGCTCCCTACGGGGCCACGAAACGTATAAGGGGTGTGCCGAAACGGGCGCGGTGGTGCCATGCGAGCGCAGCCATTGAGGCCCTCGGTGGAGCCCCCTATGGGGGCACGAAACGTGTGAGGGGTTTGCCGAGGTGGTGCCATGCGAGCGCAGCCATTGGGACATTTGGTTGAGCTCCGAAACGTGAACGTGTGGGGTGTGTGCCGACAAGGGTGTGGCGGTCCCATGCGAGCGCAGCTACTGTGGCCTACGGTGGAACTCCCTATGGGGCAACGAAGCGTTTGAGGCGTGTACCGAAATGGTTGACTTGTGCGGTGGGGCTACGAGACTTGTGAGGGGTGTGCCGGAATTGTTGACTGGTGCGGAGGGCAGAGGCAGGGACGTGAGGAGGGATGAGCGGGAGGAGGAGGCGTGAGGGAGGGACGCGGGGCGCTCTCTCCCCAAAACGAGGACCCAACACCACAGGATGACTGGACAAATTAGCCTGGCGGAAGACCCAACCATATGCAGTTGTGAATCGGAGGTTGGGGTGTGAGATCGCAGTGGAACGGAGACCCCCACCAGGAAGTCGTTTCGTTTCGATCGTGTCGTACGTGCGGGCGAGGCGAAGCTGCGTGGGCGCGCGGAATGAACCCGCCGCTGCTAGGGTGACGTCAAGACAAATGATTCTCGCCCTCCCGCCCGTCCAGGGGTGGCCCGCGGTGTCCCGTGGTGTCCCGTGGTCTCCTGTGGTGTCCGCCGTTGCTAGGGCGAAGTCAAGACAAATGATTATCCCCCGCCCGCCCGTCCGGCGGTGGCTCGCGGTGTCCCGCGGTGTCCCGTGGTGTCCCGTGGTGTCCCATGGCGTCCCGTTGAGTGAGATCGATACTGAGATCGATACTGAGATCGATGTGGTGCCCCGAGGTGTCCCGTGGTGTCCCGTGAAGTTCCAAAAAGTGAGATCGATAGTGAGATCGATAGTGAGATCGACAGGTGTCCCGTGGTGTCCCGTGGTGTCCCGTGGTGTCCTGTGGTGTCCCGTTGAGTGAGATCGATCGTGAGATCGATAGTGAGATCGATGTGGTGCCCCGAGGTGTCCCGTGGTGTCCCAAAAGGTGAGATCGATAGTGAGATCGACAGGTGTCCCATGGTGTCCCGTGGTGTCCCGTTGAGTGAGATCGATAGTACATTCGATAGTGAGATCGATGTGATGCCCCGAGGTGTCCCGTGGTGTCCCGTTGAGTGAGATCGATAGTGAGACCGATAGTGAGATCGAGAGGTGTCCCGCGGTGTCCCGTGGTGGCCCGTGGTGGCCCGTGGTGTCCCCTTGTGTCCCGTTGAGTGAGATCGATCGTGAGATCGATCGTGAGATCGATCGTGAGATCGACAAGTGTCCCGTGGTGTCCCATGGTGTCCCGTGGTGTCCCGTTGAGTGGGATCGACAGTGAGATCGATTGAGTCAGATGTTGGTTTCCCCCCCTCTCCCCCCCCACACACACACAACCTCCTTATCACCCGAAGGGTGGTCGTATAGGTACCTCAATTGTGAATACATTCTCTGGTGGCGCTCCCTATGGGGCCACGGTCCGTGCGAGGGGTGCGCCGAAATGTGTGGCGGGGCACACTGCACGAACGAAGACAATAGGTCTGAGTGTACAGGGTGTGGCGGACGCATGCGGGCACCCCCACTGGAGCTTTCGGTGGAGCTCCCTAGGGGGCCACGAAACGCTGTACAGTCAACGCGCCTAGTAAGGACGCGCGCCTTCACCTAGGGTGCCCTTGTGTCCTTCCACCTGCGGCCTGTCCTCTGCCGTTTTCACTGGTCGCCCGCCGCCCCAAGAGTCCCCGCTTCGGCCTCCAAGGGTCTTGCGTCCTTACCACCCACCCTTAATACACGTTTTGACTGTACTGGGCGTGGCGGACGCATGCGGGCACCCCCACTGGGGCCTTCGGTGGAGCTCCCGATGGAGCCACGACGCGCTCTACTGGGCGTGGCGGACGCATGCGGGCACCACCACTGGCGCCTTCGGTGGGGCTCCCTATGGGGAGGCCACGAAACGCTGTACTGGGCGTGGCGGACGCAAGCGGGCAACCTCACTGGGGCCTGCGGTGAAGCTCCCTATGGGGTCACGAAAAGCTCTACTGGGCGTGGCGGACGCATGCGGGCACCCCCACTGGCGCCTTCGGTGGAGCTCCCGATGGGGCCACGAAGCGCTGTACTGGGTGTGGCGGACACATGCGGGCACCCCCGTTGGGGCCTTCGTTGGAGCTCCCTATGGGGCCACGAATCGTGTGAGGGGTGTGCCAACGTGAGAGCGGTGACGGGAGGAGGGAGGAGGGAGGTGGCAGCGGGAGGAGGAGTGGGAAGCGGGGTGCTGTCTCCTCAAAACGAGGACCCAAGACCACAGGATGGTTGGGAAAAAAGGTTGGCGCCGCGCTGACGCGGCGGGGAAGCCGACGCGAGCGTGCAGGGTTGAGCCCCGCCATTCTCCCAGAATCGACTGACATCGAACGAACTGCGCTGCTGGAAGCCACGAGCCTTCAAGGTCGGAGGTCCCGCGCGGTGTCAGGAAGCAACGCCGACGTCCCTGCGACGTGAACCTGCCGTACCGATGCCGATTCGGCGGTGCGTGAGGGTGACCTGTCGCCCGAGCGACATCTGGTGCGGGCTCGCAGGGGCCGTCCCTGCATTGGTCTGCGCGCATGCGCAGTTTCCTGAGGCTGCGCGCCAGAGGTCACTCCCACCGAGGGCCCCTCGCGGCGTGCAGCCGACCAGTTCCTTGTCCCTCGTCTTCGCCGTACTGGGCCTCCGGGGGGGCCGCGTCGCCACGGCTGGATTTGCGCCGGAAGCTTGTTCGGAACGCACCCCGGGAGAAGTCCAGGGAGCGGCAGTACCCGTCGGTCGTTGGATCGGGGGCGGAAAAGAGGGGGGTGATGACTAGGGGGGGTGGATATCATGGCGTGGGCCATGATATTTCCCCAGATTTCATGGCGCTTCTTCTTATTTTATTACGTCCATGCCCCCCCCCCCCCCAGGGGCCGCGCACATGCCGCCGGCCATGATTTGCACCCCCCCCTCTTGGACGCCCCCCGTCTTTGACGCCCCCGATTGGAAGCATGTATCTCTGGGTGGCCAAGTCCCAATCTGGTTTAAGTGGCTTCTCGCAAAGCTCACAGGGTCGTCCTCTTCTGTCATGGGACGCGAAGCTATCCTCGTTCTGCCGGGCGAACCACATCGGACCGTGGCAAGAAGCTGCACAAGATTACTCAGCATGGGTGGAACTGACAGAAGATTTCCTGGACTTCTGCACGTCAACGTGAGCAGGCGCGATGCTTCCTTTGCGCACCAGGCCTGAATAGTGACTGGCATTTGATTCTTTCCCTCGCGCCCTATATGGGCCCGCCCTCGTGCGAGCGGGGTGACTTGACTTGACTTCTTGCTTTGCGAGTCGAGTGGTGCTCCCTCGTCCCTCCTCTTCTGGAGGCGGACGGAGGCCCAGTATCCACTCTCAACGCCTTCTCGCTCCATGCTTCTGCCCACTTCTTCCGACCGACGGGTGCCGGCACCTTCCTGTCCCCCCAAGCGTGGGCATTCGAGGTCGATCCCCAGCCCGGTGAGGGGCATCTTGCCTTGCTGGGGATCTCGGGGAGCCTGCTCGCGGGCACTCGGCCACGCGCAGGGGGGGGGGGGGGGTCGGAGGGTTTCTTAGAGTCACCCCTGCTTCTTAGAGGCGCGGGCCTTCTCTAGAGATGTGGGGCCCGCGCCTTCTAAGAATCAGCCTTCTAAGCATCAGCCTCTACAGGAGGAGCATTCAAGCATAGTAAAGAAATAGTATGGGGACGATGTTTCGACTGCTAATTTGGACTATGTTCGAGCATTTGTGGGGTGTGTTTTATTTTTCGTCCCAAATCCGCCTCTAGGAGTCGGCAGCGAGCCCAGGGGGTAGCGAGAAGGGGCGGGCCCTCTCAGAAGGCTCAGAAGTCCCCCCGCCTTCCGAGAGGTTTTCCGAGCCGTCCCCGAAGACGTCGAAGACTTGTCAGAAGGCGCGAGGGCTTCTGAGAGGAGCCCCGCCGCCTTCTGAGAAGGCCTTTTCCTTCTCACCTCTCCCCCTCTCGCTCGCCGCCGAAGGAGGACACCCCCCAGCGGCGCCTCCGGCGCCGCCCCTGGCGCGCTCCGCGAGCCAGGGAGGGGGGTCCAGCGCAGGTCCAAGACATCCAGCGCGGAGCGCCAAATGTTTAGGTTTAAGGCGTCTTTTTTTTCTTCTGAAGGATACTTCCTCCCCCCTTCCCCCGGCCCCCCTCGTGCGAGCCGCCGAGGCACGGCTCGACGGGCCCTCGGCGCAGGCGTAAAGGGCCTCGGCAGGCTCGCGCGCCGCCCCGGCGACGGCGGCAATGCCGACGAGGGCGCCGTGAGTACCCTACTTTCGGGTATAGCCAGGACCCCAGGTAAGGGGACCCGGTCAGTAGTAGGGCCCTGGATCCCCTAAATAGGCCAGAGTCACCAAACCAGGTCTGCCGTAGCTGGTGTTTTTTCGGGTGACGGCAGTTCCGGTTAGTGGAACGGGCAGTGCACATCAGTAAACCAGGTCCCACCAAACCCAATTTTGCCATCCCCAGCGGCGTGGACTGGGCCCAACTGGCCGATTTACCCCCCTAGATGGGGATATAGGCCGTCCCCTTCGGACTTCGAGGGGTGTATCCCCAACTGGGGGTGTAACTTGGTGGGGATCTCGAAGGGGATGGGGGTGGGGATGGTGACTGGTGAAACGATGCCGACTGATTGCCAGAGGCCCGCTTCGTGCCCACAGGTCGGCCTCCTCCTCCTCCTCCTCCTCCTCCTCCTCCTCCTCCTCCTCCTCCTCCTCCTCCCCCTCCTCCCCCTCCTCCTCCTCCTCCTCCTCCTCCTCCTCCTCCTCCTCCTCCTCCTCCTCCTCCTCCTCCTCCTCCTCGAACACTGCAGGCAAGGCGGTCTGTCCACCGCAGCCCGCGCCGCGCCGCATCGCGCGCGACGCACGGCCCCCTTCCCCGGAGAGCCTCGGAATGGGGCCACAAACAGCCTCTGGAACCCAGGGCCGCCCGCCACCAGGAGAGAGAGAAGCCTCAAGGGGCCTCGGAGAGAAGGAAAGCGGGAGCCCCGAGAACCCAAAGGCCGAAGGCCAACGGGACAACACGGGGACAGAGCGAAGGCGAGGGCCGCCAGGGGCACGGGAGAGGGGCCTCCTGGACCAGAGGAGGGAGGGGGGGCCAGGCCAGGTTTAACGATCACTTGTGGATCGTCGAGGGCCCGCCTCCGTTCCAACATCCGTCACCCCACCGACGGTCGCGTACCACATGTCGGAGCATTGCGACTCTTGGGGTGACGGAGGCTGGAGGAGGGGCTTCGCTGAGACGACAGTCTCGGGCAACGGGGCAGGGCCCGAGGGGGAGCTCCCGACAGAGGGAGAGGGGAGGGGCCCCATGAGCCTCGAGGAGCCTCGAGGAGGAAGGACGGGACCCCCAACGGGCACTCTAAACAGAAGTCTTCTGAGGCCACCTGGGCGGCGGACCGCCGGGGCCTGTGTCACTGGTAGGTCTTCGCCTCATCCCCCTCGCTCCGCGAGGGGGCCTTCCTGATGATGTGGAGCCCGTACAGCTGATGGTTCAGGGCGATCGCGTGGCGGTTGCTGCCGCCGTCGATCATGTGCCCCTGTTACGGGCTTGTGAGGATGTCTCCAAACATGTGGAGTCGGTGATCCAGGTCGCTGACGATGAGCCGATGTGGCCGCCGTAGTCGTCGGTGATAGCGTCCTGGTTGTCGGCGATGGCCTCTATAGCTTTTTTTTTATGACGTCCTCGATGTCGTTGCCGTCAGTGTGGTATTGCTCGCACATGATTGCTGTGTATCTCTCCGCTGAGGTTGTTCGATGGTGTTGTCCTAGCAGTGTGTGCTCGTGGATGCTCAGGTGGCGTATGTCGCTGTCCATCAGTATGGTGGGGGTGGTTGTTGCGACCGTGTCGTATGCCGCAGTGAGTGTTCTGTACATTGTGTGGTTGTCTTTGGTGGCCACTCGCTGCTGTTGTGTGCTTATCTGAGGCCGTCCCCATGGGTGCTGTCGGTTTCTTACTTGCCCTTCTGGTTTGAAGGTGCTGATGTTGGCGTCGACGATGTGCAGCGCCACTCTCTCTCCCGAGGTACTTTCTCGCCCGCTGTAGCCAGTGTCGTCGCCTTCGGCGTTGTCAGTCCGTCTAATACGTATCCGTATTGCCGTGCTGTGTAGGTTGACTTGCCGCTGAATGACGTCGGTTATCTCGCTGGTGGCAATGTCGCTAGCAATGGTGATAAGTATCGTGTTCGGTGGTTCTCTGTCTTGGTTGGTGTGTGGTTGCCTCTGCTCGTCGCTGAGTGTCTGGCTGGGCAAGGTTGTCGCTTCAGGGATGCTCGTTGGGACTGGTGTGTGTGCGTCGCTGGTAAGTGTTTTGGGTCCTATCGGCGGTCCGTACGTCGGTATTGGCGGTACCTCGGCGTAGTCGTCTGGCAACCCGTTGTGTCTGTTGAGTCGCCTCACGAGTCGGGTCTCCGTCAAGTTGGCTTTGACCTCTTCGGCCGTTGCCCTGTAGTTGCTGGCCCTCCATCCTCCTCCTCCTCCTCCGCCTCCTCCTCCTCCTCCTCCTCCTCCTCCTCCTCCTCCTCCTCCTCCTCCTCCTCCCCCTCATCCTCTTCATCCTTAGCCACTGCCCCCAGCCCCCACTAGGGGAAAAGGATGACATAAGTTGAAAAAACACGGAGGTCCGCGCAGATTTCTCGGATCCGCGCCGGACTCCCCTCCCTGGCGCGCGGAGCGCGCCAGGGGCGACGCCGGAGGCGCCGCCAGGGGGTCCCAGCGCGGATCCGAGAAATCCGCGCGGACCTCCGAGTTTGTATGTTTATGTCATTGTTCGCCTCCCTATTTATTGCCCCGGGTCAACGCAAGCCCGGGTCAGTCAGGCCTTGCAGGATCCTGCAGGATCCTGCACGCTACGGTCAACCCGCCTGGTAAGGATAAGCAACTTTCCAAGGTTGCCCTTGCATCCTTCCCCTTCGGCCCATCCTTGGCCGCTTTCGCTGGCCGCGCCCCGCTCGCAATGTGTTGTCATGGCCTTCCATGGCATTGCATCCTTATCGTGCGTCCGTGCTATACGGTTTGACTGCAGCCCAGATCAGTGCACCCCTGGCTCTGCAGGGTCCTGCAAGATCTGGCGCTTTGGCTGACCCCGTTTGTATTGACCCCCGTCTCGAGGCTCCCGAACAGAACCCACAGAAGATACCTCTTGGCGCGAAAGCCATCCGGAAGGTCGAGGGCCTCGGGGGACATCCGAGAGCGGACGAGTTTCAAGATTGAGCGGTCCATGCGCGATCGGAAAGCAGGTCCGACGTTGTCACGGCAGGAGCATCGTCTTCATCTCGGGTTGGGATTGAGTGCATTGGCCTCTTCGATTCCCAGGCTGGTCCGGCCCTATGGTAGAACTTTTGTGGCTCATATGCCGCCAGCGACTCCGATTCCGATGGTGCTGAAGAGACCCGAAGTTGGCCGAGTTTGTGCTTCATGTGGCCTTCACGCTTGCGGCTGGCCAACATCAGGTCAAAAATGGTATCCTCCTTTGTGCACAGCCCCGCCCGTAGTGTCTTCGCGGGTCGCTGCCGCACTGCCTGGCTCCTCCAAAACAAAAAACTTTCCCGTTGTCACGTGCTCGTGCCTCCGATTTCCTGCTTGCGCTGGCCTGCCTTCGCGCCCGCTGACTTCTCGTGGCAGGTTCGCATTTGTCCTGCTAGGACGAGGAGGACGGGGGCCAGCAAGGCAGAGAGGGGGCGAGGCAGGAGCAGGCGAGCTCCTGATGAGAGTGAACACGTAAGCGGAAGAGTTGGCCCAGTCGTCTGCTCTTTGGTCTGATGTTCGCTTGGTCTGTTCCGCGTGGCAGCGTCGTTGCGTGCAAGTCACGTGCTTCAGTTGAAACGTTGGGACGGATTGGGCGAGTGCACAATACGACTCGGAATGTCGGAGCGACGATTGGAGGGGAGAAAGATCAACAGGAGGAGCAGGAGCAGGAGCGGGGGGGGGAGAGGTATGTGGGGGCAGGTGCGGATTCTGTTGTAAAACCACTCGGCTATGATTGTCGCGATGATTGGTTCTATGTCCATCTCTCTCCAGCTGCCGTCCCGTGGCGGCGCGGGAGGTTTATCAACACCGGACAATCACCTTGGCACACTCCTCTCCGTTTCGCTACGGGAGGTTCATCGTCAAGCTCCCCAGAAAAAGGATCGCATTTTTGCTTTAGGGGGGCAAACTCGCTATTGTGCCACAGATGCCCAGAGAAGCACTTCACTGAGTAAGGTGTGGAAGACGTGCCGCGCAGGTCTTTGCTAAGCTTCAAGGAAGACGCTGACAAATCGATTGCGCAGTGAGGGCTTCAGAAGCGAGAGCGATGCAGAGGAAACGAGATACACTGATTCTTGACGTCTCGCGTATCCCCTCTGGCCACGTCGGCGGAGTTCGTGGACGCGAGAGCGAGGCACACGAGGATCTGGGGCCCCTCTGGAGCCCAGACCTGGCCGAAATCTCGGCATGCCCCGAGAACGCCGACCACGGCATTCCCAACGTGGCGGAAATATATCTGTACACTTGCACCGGCGCCCATCTCGGTTCCAGCCATGTGAGTGTCCAGCTTTCCCAGTAATCTTTGCGTCTTTACGCTTCTCGTATTCCAGCCCATTCAGGCTCCAGTCCCATGCCCCTTGCTGGAAGGCGTCTTGCGGTCATCGTGGGGGTCGCTTAGGTGCGTATCAGGGTAATCGTTGTCCTTGGCGCGATAGCCCCGCGATGTGTTGGGAGGCGTGTGAGAAGTAGGGAGGAGGTGGGAGGACAGAGCCAGATGATGCATGTACAGTTAGCAAAGCAAGGGGGAAGGCATGAGGGATGAGGGTGGATGATGAGGTGGAACAGGAGCAGGATTGGGAGTTGAAGGAAGTGGACGAAGAGGAGAAAGAGTAGGGGCAAGAGGAGGAGAAGGGGAAGGAGGGAGGAAGCTACCACTAACGTGTAGACACTTACTCCTTCTCCTCCTCCTCCACCTCCTCTTCTTCCTCCTCCTCATCCTCATCCTCCTCCTCTTGTTCGCTTTTCACTTTGCCTGGTCTGGTCCTGCATGATCGAGTCTGGTATGGTCTGTATGAGGCCTGTGTAGTCTCCAGGTCTTATGCTGCCGTTGTGGTCGGGTCTGGCTGGATGAAGGAGGTGGGGGAGAAGGAAGAGGAAAGGGAGAAGGAGTAGGAGGAGGAGGGTGAACAGGAGAAGGAGCCACCATGGAGAAAGAAAGGTGGCGCCCTCTGGGGGGGGCCCATGGGAGGGTGTTGATTTGGAGGGGCTCCTGGAAACCTCTCGAGGCCCCCCTTGGCCGTCTTGCAGGCATCACAGGCGTCTTGGGGGCTCATCGGGGGCTTCTTGAGGGCGTCGTGGACCGTCTTGTGTGCGTTCTGCGCGCTCCGCCCACCCGAGCGCATAACGAAGCGACGTGCCACTGTGCCGACGCAGTCAGAACGGTACACTCGCACCCAAGCAGGCGAATCAATGTAATCGCATGTCACGGCACACTGGGAAGCATCCGAAGGTCACCCTCCCCCTCCTCCTCCTCCTCCTCCTCCTCAGATCCGGCGTGGTGATAAATGACACAGCGTCCCGAGATGATCACGACCAGATGCCTCTCGGCACCGTCTTTCTGCGGTGCTTTCCGCGCTGGACCGATCCGTGAGGGTCTCAGGGGCCGAAGTCGGGACGAGAAAGTCGGGGGCGGCCAAGAGAGGGGTGATGACTAGGGGGGGTGGATATCATGGCGGGGGGCATGATATCTCCCCAGATCTCATGGCTCCTCTTCTTATTTCAATGCGTTCCCTGGCCCCCCCTGGTCCGCGCATATGCCGCCGGTCATGATTTGCCCCCCACCCCCCCCCCTCTTGGACACCCCCCTCGTGGACGCCCCCGATCTTTGAAGCCAGCCGAGCTTTCGTTTACAGCGCCCAAATCTTGCATGGGGGCCCTCCCCCCCTCCTCGGCGGTGTCCTTCTCTGGCCTTCGGCCCCGCCCCTCGGCTCGTCGTCACGGCTGGACGCGGCTCGACACACGAGCCAGGATGGGCCCGGGGAGGGGTCACGGGGGGGGCCAAGGGGGGCGGCATTCAAAGAAGAGCGCGGCGCTTGAAGATCGAAGGCCGTTCATGTGGATTTCCACATCGGATATGGTAGCGCACACGTGGCGTCGCTCTCCCCCTCCACACCTCATTCTCTGATCTACATGTGCCTGCAGCATCGAAGACTCGAGCCTGATCGGTTGCTGGTCTTGTGGTCCTCCTGGAGTCCTCATGGGGAAGGCGTTGTAGGTGGCACGGGAACCATGCGAAGGCCTTCTAGAGCCCTATGTTTGGTCATCGGGGGTTGAAGCGCAAGCACATCTTGAAACAAGTATGGTGTGTTCGGGCGTAGTTTGAATTTGTTTTGCGGGAAGTGCGACCGACTGCCTCGAATTGGACTCAACTGGATTAGAGTGACTTGGGCTGATCGCGGAGCGCGGAGCGCGAAGTTGAGTGTCCTGAGTGCTGGATTGCCTTGGGACTATCTCGGAGCGATGCCAGGTCATCCAGGGGCCGTCCGGGAGGCTTCCCGGGCCGTCTTTGGACTATCTTGGGCCCCTCCCAGGGCCGTGCTAGCTTCGAGCAGCCTTGCCTGTCTTTCGGTTTGTTGTTTATTCGGGGTGCATGCCGATCCCGCGTCGAATGCACCCCGCCAAGGTGTCGAATTGACGGAAAGGAGACGTCCAGGCTTCGTTCGGCTTTGGACAACGAGACCGTGGCAAGAGATGCCGCCATCCAAATCCTTGAGTACTCGCTTGCCGCATGGCGAGATCGCCCTCGACTGGGCGTCGCTGGGCCAGCAAGCACTGGTTATGGCTTCAGGTTCTGGCTCAATTTGGAAGCTGTTTGTGGTTGGTCGGCCATAAAATGGGTCCGAATCCTCTCGGGGCTTGCATACTCGCCTCCGTCAGCTGCGGTTTCTGTTACGCTCCTGATTTCAGCTCTAGACCAGGCTGCCATCGCTTCTCATGCCGAGCGGCACTCAGTCACAGGTCGGACTTACGTCGTCGTCTGGTTTGTCATGGTTGTTTCCCGTTCGCTCAACGTTTCCCGCATGGACTCTGGATCCAGCAGTTCAGATTCCAGCTTGAGCCGCTTTCTCCGCCCACCCTTTCGACAGTTCCCAATGACATTGTAAAAAAGCACAGTCGCTTCCTCCCTTCCATTTCCAGGCAGCTCCGGTGGCCCAAGCGGGTTGGCCTCCTCCTCTTCGGGCGCGGCCCTGCCATCCTACAAGCGACCACACAACCAGCATGGGTGGCCAAGCGTATGTACTCACATACAGCACTGTCAGGAACGGCTGCTTAGCGTGAGGCTTCGCCGGTTCTGGCCCACCACGCTGTGACGCGACACGCAAACCACGTCCCCATTTCCAAGCGTCATCGTCCCGAGCTCGTCTTAGCATTCCGCCCCGCGAAGCTGAGCGACACGATGTCAGCTCGCAGAGCATACAGCCGAAAACGATGGTAAGGCTGGGCAAGTGTTCCCAGGGGTGCACTTGCATCCGTGGCTCTTCGGTCCATCCTTAACCACTTTCGACAGCCAGCCCCTCTCGAGCAAATTCGACATGCGCGTCCGAGGGCTTGCATCCTTATCGCGCATCCTTACTATCAGTTCTGACTGTAGCGTGTCGTCGGGGCTGCCGCCGCATCGCGCTAAGCAGAAATTCTTGACCCTCGCCTCCCTCCGCACTCCCCCTCATGGAGGAGAGGGAGAGCAGGGCGAGGTGAGAGCCAGGCAGCCTGAGGATACGAATGACTGGTTCCAGAGCCTCTTACGGGCGTTCCATGAAACCCGGCTGCGCCCGCGGTGCCCCGCACGTTCTCTGGACCCGCTGGACCTGAGAGGCCGCTGGGGTTGTTCGTGTCTTGCCATCGCTTCATGGTGGGTGAGATTACCCTTGGCCCCCCATGTGGCATGCCAAAGACGAGGAATCTCGTCGCATCGCTGTGGCTTGGCCTGGCATGCAGTACGTCTGCCTTCCACACCAAGTTCTCCTATCCTCTGCCAGCAGACTCGAACATCTCCGTCTTGGTGCAGCAGTGGTTTCCAGAGGCATCAGTCTCCGTCTCCTCCGACTCGTCCTATCACTCCTCATCTTCCTATTCCTCCTCCTTCTCCTCCTCGGAGGCATGCTCGAGCATGGATGCCGTATCTCGAGCTTGCCGCAGCCCACGGCCTGCGTGGACAAAAGGTCTGGTCATTCAGAACATGCGGAAGCATGGGCCCAACAACACCGTGTACGAGGAGTGTCTGCGCACTCAGTTTGCTGGCAAGCCGTTTCTCATGCAGCAGAACCTCTCGAAGTGGACCCAGTCGCTCTTGTACAGCAACTGGCCCGAGGTTGTCGACGAGTTGTCTTGGGCGGATGCTTGGATGCGAGACGGCACGTGCACCGGGCTGGACCCCGACTGCTTCTTCAAAGAGGCAAGGAACTCCTTCCGATTCCCCCTCCTCGTACCTCTTCTTCTCCTCCTCGAGGCGGTCGAGATGCACCAGAACGTTGGAACTTCCGAGATTATCCGCCTTGCTGTCGGGCAGAGCGTGAGAACTATCGATGTCCTGGAAGCCTATGGCAGCTCTGCCGTGGTCCTGAAGTGCCATGGTTCGAATCTGTCGGCGGTCTACACTTGTTG